GGGTCAGAGATAAATTGTTCGTATTTTTACTAGACCTGGCATCAGGGTCACTTCAGCTTTATGCTTCAGTTCCTTGCTACACAAGTTTGGTCACAGACCAGCAGCATCAGCATCTCCTGGGAACTTGTTGGATGTGCAGAATATCTGGGTGCCACCTCAGGTCCATAAATTCCCAAGGATTTGCAGATGCAGTAAAGTTTGAGAAGCTGCTGTAATTTACAAAGCTAAATATCCTAGCAAGTTTTTAACACATACTATGTGGTTGCACTAAATGTTTAAGTTGATATCCTGCTCTTTTTATTAGTAGGAAACATGGGGATATCTTCAGAGCACCTTTGGTCCTATCTGGTCCATATGAAGTAATGGAAGAAGAATGTTCTGGCAGCAGAAACAATGGAGGCTGGAAGCAAGCTTTGCTCTGTTATCCCCGTCTGTTGGCAGCAGCTTTCAGACTGCAAAAGTGAACTTTCTGGTTTCACCCTTCACATCATGTTATAGTCATTAACAGCAGAATGATATCTGGACTCCACATAGGCACAGTGTCAACACCTTGGCTATGTATTATGATACAAACACAAAACCAAACCTAAGGGATGTTCCATATAATTGCTCCAAATGAAAAAAAAAAAAAATGCCCAGGCACAATTCTTTGCTGGGCAATTCTATTACAAAGATATATAGAAAAATCTTGTTCTCCATAGCAACTGTCCAATAATTTTTTCATGTTTATTTTATATTTTGGGATGTAAAAAACAGGATAGAGGTGTAGAAAGAATGTATTGGTGATACCAATAAGCCAGCCATATCACCTAAAATGAAAGAATTGTGACAATTGATAAGTAATCAAATTAAGTATCCTGTTTGATTCATGTCCACAGGAATGCTATTCATTAAATTATAGTGGTTATGTAGCCCCATGAAAGTTGATGCCATGCCATCAGCCAGGGTTCTAGTCTTATGGCTCACATTTGGTAACAAAGAAAGAGAATTTCTGTAATTCCATCAGCAAAACTTAGTGGAAAAATTGCAAGTTTTCTGCCTAAAACTCTCCCAGCCAACCTAAATACAGAATAGGATGCAGTATGTATCTCTGCATAATTTTTAAAGACCAGAAAAGGTGTTATAATGGAGTTAAAAGGGAGATCAAGAGAGATTTAAAATTATAACAAAACTCAACCATTGTGAAAGACAACGTGGCAATTCCTCAAGGGTCTAGAACCAGAAATACTATTTGACTCGGCAATCCCATTACTGGGTATATATCCGAAGGATTATAAATCATTCTACTATAGACACATGCACACATATGTGTATTGCAGCACTATTTACAATAGCAAAGACTTGGAACCAACCCAAATGTCCATCAATAATAGACTGGGTAAAGAAAATGTGGCACATATACACCATGGAATACTACGCAGCCATAAAAAAGAATGAGTCCATGTCCTTTGCCGGGACATGGATGAAGCTGGAAGCCATCATTCTCAGCAAACTAACAGAGGAACAGAAAACCAAACACCGCATGTTCTCACTCACAAGTGGGAGTTGAACAATGAGAACACATGGACACAGGGAGGGGAACATCACACACCAGGGCTTGTCAAGGGGTTGGGGGCAAGGGGACAGGGAGCATTAGGGCAAATATCTAATGCATGCAGGGCTTAAAACCTACATGGCGGGTTGATAGGTGCAGCAAACCACCATGGCACACGTATACCTATGTAACAAACCTGCATGTTCAGCATATGTATCCCAGAACTTAAAGTAAAATAAAATGAAAAATTATAACAAAACACATTCTAGTCTAGCAAAAACAGTAGCCTGGTGAAGGCTACGTCATAATAAAATATTTTGCCATCATCCCCCATGTACTGAGCACCTTTTCTTCCTCTGGGTTTTCTCATTCAAAATGTGAGTGTTATATGTGGGATTTTTTTCAAAAATTTCCGCATTGGCTTTTCCCCACTGGTTTTGGTGGCCTCATTAAATTAAGAGAAAACAACTGTTTACAAATAAGAATGTGTATCAACTTTCAACCTGTACGTGTATCTATCAACCCATGCTTAAGTACCTACAACTAACAATATCAAGAAAGGTGCACAAAAAAAAAATCAGACACCAGAGCCCATGAAAACTTGGTATATATAATGTTTGGTTTTCATAAAAATTTGTCTTTCTAATTCCCCTAACTCTAGCCCACAGTTACTTTTTCTACAGCTTTATACTGGAATACATACCTTAGGTTACTATATGTGTTAATACATTCACTGGGCAAGAATTATGTCTTTTAAATTTTTCCTACTGCATAAGTTAAGAGTTTGGTAAAGTGCACACAAAAGCAGTCAATGAGCACGATTTTTGAAAGATGCATGAAACTCTCATAATTTTTTGAGGCATGAATTTAAAAGGAAGTTTTTCATATGAAGACAGAAGGTTAAGTGTGTGTAAAAGAGTAGAAATGCTATTGCTCATTGAACATTACAATCAGCTCATGCAATTCAACTGTATTTATATGTATGAAGGACACTGAAAGCAAATTCTTGGCCTGAGTTGCTTGAGGTCCTGGACCTTCGGGGCACCCATCCAGAAGGAAGAACTTGTCCTGCCCCTTATCTTTGTTGACTTTGACCTAATCAGGGAAGGTGCTGACCCTTTCGCTGGGCTTGCAGGCAAATTTCCACCTGTACTCATCATACGCACTTGTCAACTACTCTGAAAATATGGAGAGAGATAGAGACAGCGAGGAAAAGAGAGCAGTAGATAGAGGGAATAGCCCCTACCTCCCACACTACTTACGAATACAGTTTAAGAGATTTAGCTCAAGCTGTACTATCTTTATTACTGCCATCAAGAAATTTCTATCTCAAGCCGCCTTTATCTTCATAGCTTTTTCCTTAACTACAATATCCTTTTTTTGTTTTTATGCATGCCAGTTGGGCTTGGTTTATTTAGCCTTCTCAGGAAAATGTACACTACAATACTACAGAAGACATTGACCTTCCTAGAAAGTGCTGTTCAATTCTGATTCTTCATTTTTCCTAATAAGCTGTCTTATTCAGTTGCAAGAAAAGCAGTGGGTAGGGTAAACAACCTTTAATTTAACCACTTCTCTGAATTTTGAAAATGATTTTAAATTATTCCCTGCTAATTTGGGGGAAAATTTTTAAGTAAGGTCCTAAAGAACTTCTAAAACTCACCCAACAGTGAATTTTCAAAATAAGAGAATCACAGATCCACTACCAACTTCACAGTAGATGTGTATAAGTTCTTCCCAGAAGGTTGACTACCTCTGGCATTGCTAAATCAGGAGGGGACAGCCCACAATTCTCCCTTTGGCAGCGAGCACCTACACACAGTCATCAGTACAAAAAAGGAAAAAATGAAAACATCCTCTGTTTTGCCAAAAGATTGTCTCAGTGTCTCCTCCATCCAGGGATCCCTACATCTTCTCGAGTCCAGGCCCCGCCTGTTTTAATTCCTTAGTATGGAGAATTCTTGCTAGTGTATAGCTTTTTCTAGGGACTTGACCTTTTCCTTTCTAACTAATGACACCCAACACCACCTTACTCTATGAATTAAGTGTCCTTCCTTTAGTCTGTCTAAAGCCAAACATACCCTCCAAGCCCTTTCTGCCAATTCATCCTCTGTTCTTTTTAACTTAATCATTCCTGCTCTCCTACTGCCCCAGAGTGTCAGCATGCCATGAATTTGTACTCTATGAGAACTAGCTCTTCCCATACAAAAGACATTGCATGCTTTTCAGAATCAATCACACAAAAATTATTTAAAGAGTCCATGTAAATACACACTCCAATATTAATGGAAAAGTGGTGTCACTGCTGAGACTTCTCCAAAGACAAATTTGTAGTGAAAAGCTTTAAAAGGCGAGAATGAATGAAACAGTTTTTCCTATGTTAGGCTCATCTGTTTGGCCACAGAGAGGTTGAGACTCAGCCGTGAAGCAGGCCATCGGGTAGTGAACATTCCACTTTCTTTTCAAGTCCATTTCTGTGGCCACCACCGACCGCATAATGCCTACAGAAGGTTAAGCCGCGTCACTGAGATTGGCACCACGCCCATTGTCTGCTCCACTTGCAAATACCTTCTTAAACCACCTTACATGAGCAGTTCTGTTCTCAGGCTACTCTAGCACAGCTGTAGCCAGCTGCACTCAGCCTTCAGCCCAGCAATGGATTATATACCAGATGATTCTTGTCCATTGAAAATACTGGAAACAACAAGGAATACATCACACTGCTGAGAAATTGGATCCACCCAGAGAGACCAAAGGAAAGCTATGACATTTGAGGAACAGGCAAACATTTCTCCTGCAAGCATTTACTGAAGCAGGTATTTAGGAGGAAACTAATCCGTCAGATTCCCAGACACACATTTATTGTCTGGTTCCTTTGTTTTTAATTTTGTTTCTTTCTGGTTGAGTTTGGGAGGTGGGGGGAGTTAGCAGAAGGAAAAACTCCTCATACTTTACCCCGTATGTTTTCTTTTCTTCTCTGTTGAAGACTATAAAAACAAGTGTGGATACTCCACTGGAATGCTGTCACAGTTCTGAATTTGGAAACTGATATTACCATGTCCGTAAAGGACAAAGAACGGAGGCTCCACATGGTGTAATGAGTAACGCTTTTTAAAACTCAGAAAACTGACCAACGTGTGAGAATTAACTTGATCTAGCCAAATATTTCTGGGTATGAGAAGAGACAATGATAATTAGAATTGCTACTTGTAGATAGGTAGTTTAAACTACATACAGTAGCTGGATGTCTTCAAGGTAAAAGCAACTGAAGAGCATTAGTGTTCAAGTATCGTTAACCTCTCCAAAACGTTTCTTGGCAAAGGGTTCTGATGGCCTTCACTGAGTTTCTGTCATTCTTCCCCTCCTTCTGTTCTATGTCTTCCCACACTCAGTGATTGGAACATTTGGATCATTTTTAAATTGTGTGAGGGAAGAGACCAAGAAAAAAAATAATTGAAGAACAGGGCAACTCTATAGTAGTAATAAATATTTAACTTGAAAAATGCCTAAGAATAAATATCATCTATATAGGCATAGACAAGACTGTGGCACTCCTCTTTTGTTCACATGTAGGATCTTAGAAAAAACAACCCCAATATTTTACTATGAAAGATTATAGGTACCTCTGTTTTGATTCACTTTTTTCCAACGTACCTGACTTTAAAGTTTTCCTTTTCAAAGAGCTAAGTGAACTCCTGCATCTTGTCTCCCTTCTTGCTCACTATTTAAAGAGATGGTTCAATGCCATGTTTGAAAATGTAAGAACCTTCTATTACTAAGGGTCAATATTCAGAGCATGGCAACACAGTTTATTTCATGATACTTCTTAAAATTCTTTTCCCACTGACAAATTTGGCCCTTTCACAGAGGCAGGATCAGTGAGTTTCTGGAAGGAAAACGCGTTGGGTTTGCCAAGAGTTTCCCCTACTGGGCTGATGACACCTCCTAAAACTACAGAGAAGAAATGCTCTGCAGGTCAGGCAGCAGGAGTTGACGTCCCAACTGTGTCTCAATTTGAAAGACTGAGTCAGGCACGCAGCTTCCAGGTGCCTGAGGAATCTGAATTGTTTTGCAACATTAAAGTCATTGTGAATGAGGGGAACTGGTCATGCTGAAATGATGCTACTGTTTCTGTGGAATTTTAGTGATGCCCAGAGCAAGTTGAAAATCCATTTGCCATTCCTTTTTTCCTAATTCCATTCTTCACCTGCAATGTGTCTCAGGGCATTAGAAAGTGTTTTTGCAACTCAGAAACAAACTGGAAAGAATAGTTTTCATTGAAAACATGCTCAGACTGGATTTAAAATTATAGACTTGTAAGACTTGGGACAGAGAGAAGAATGAAAGTTATCTGTGGCAGAAACTGCAATAGTTGTCACTGATTATTTTTTTCATTTTCTATAGTAATAGAATCCCTTAACTTTAGTTGGGTATTTGAAATACTCTTATTTCCTAGCCGTTTTGCACCTAGTTGTGACTACTTGTCTAAATTCTGGATGCAGATAGAAGTAATACATGCAACCTATGCCAAATAACCTTAAAGGGAGAGAGTAGGCTCATCATCTTTCTTCTTTGTGCCACCTGGAAAGTGATGTGATGGCTAGAGCTGAAGCAGCTTTCTTGGACCTTGGTGTTATCTTAAAAATAGAGGCCTTATGTAGTAAAACCCCAAGCCAGGAGGCACCTAG